CTACTTTGTGCCTTAGGTAATAATATTCATATTATTATAATAGTGCAAAATCCTTTTACTTAAAAAAAAATAATCAACCTATTGGCAAAGTACAGAATAATCAGTCATTGAGAACAGAACCCAAATGATAGAAATATTGGCAATGTAAAAAGTTGGGAAATGCAGATAGCACAGAGATAGAGGGAGTACGTGGGGCATTAGTTTTCTTGTTTTACGGGATTATGAATCCAGATTTCTGAATTGATAGATCAAGAAAGAAATACTAATTTGTTTAAACACATAAAGGTGGCCAGGCGCAGTGGTTCTTCCTGAAATCCCAGCACTTTGGGAGGCCTAGGCGGGTAGATCACCTGAAGTCAGTAGTTCGAGACCAGCCTGAACAATATGGTCAAACCCCATCTCTACTAAAAACATTAGCCAGGTATGGTGGTGCACGCCTGTAGTCCCATCTACTCGGGAGGCTGAGACAGAAGAATTGCTTGAACCCAGAGGCGGAGGTTGCAGTGAGCCGAGATCGTGCCACTGCACTCCAGCCTGAGCAACAGAGCAAGACTCTGTCTCAAAAAAAAAACAAAAAGATATAAAGGTAAGTAAACTCTCAGTGCCTCAGCTTTGTTTTTCGAAAAATGGAGTTGATGATATATGCCCTACTTATATCACAGCAACTTCGCTAGAAATGTCAAATCATATTAAAGGCATGGGAGGGCTTGAGGAAATAAAAGCAGCACTGGAATATAAAACGATTTTACCATCAAAGTGTCTAGCTTCCATAGAAGTTTGACCATTTGCTTATGCATCCTAACTGCAAATCACCAAAGGAGATTTAACATATCCAGCTGTTTTCATTAGCTCTTATGGATTTCATCCCATGTGGCATCATAGGCCTTTAAAGCTGAAAGAGCTCAAAGATTTTTGAGTTCATCTTCCTTATTTCACAGGTAAAGAAACTGAGTCCACAAAAGTCAAGTGACTTGACAAAATTAAACAGCTCTTAAATGACAGAGATGGGCTAGGAACTACGTATCCTGAATCCTAGAGCTATGCTTTTCTATTATATTAGACAAATGGGGGGAAAAGAAAGTCCAGATAATAAATTGAGTCTACATTACTTCAGAAAGAAAGCTAGAAAGTTAGGACAAATAAATACATTCCTAACTTGTATAGGTTTATTCCATAACTTGTATGAATAAACAGTAATAAATAGCTCACTTATTTCTCAAGATTCATTCATTTAATTAGCCAGGTGCAGGTACAGTGGCATGGCACCTGTAATCCCAGCTACTGGGGAGGCTGAGGCAGGAGAATCGCTTCACCCTGGGAGGTGGAGGATGCAGTGAGCCGAGATCACGCCACTGCACCCCAGCCTAGGCAACAGAGCAAGACTCTGTCTAAAAATTAAAAAAAAAAAGATTAATTCACTTGATTGTTTTATACGCTAATATAATCTGCTCCATTAGATTTTAAAGGTGTTTTTCTTTTTTTATCTTTTTTGGATAGCATATAGATTTTAAAGTTCTAATGAGTAGTTCTATGTCTCTTAGTATCTTTTTGTTTTTCAGAATAATGAAGCTATATTAAGTGTTCACAAAAGTAATTTGGCTGATTGTCTCCTTCTATTTTTATTTTTGTGTTTGAAGTCATTTCAGACTTACAGAAACAGTAAGTCTGAACAGTAAGTCTGAAACAGCAAGAACAGTACAAAGAACACTTAAATAGAAAAAGTCGTTACCCAGATTTTCCAAGTTTTAGCATTTGCTTTGTCTCATCTATGTGTATCTATTTAAATATATTACACATTTTATAAATATACATTTTTTGAATCATTTAAGAGTAGGTGCACACATAATGCCTCTTTATCCCTTAATATTTCAGTTTATGTTTCATGAGAACAAAATTTTGTCCTTAATGGCAGGATAATTATTAAATTGTAATAATTACCAAATATTTTTAAAACTCAGGACATTTAACATTGATAGGATACTTTAAAGTTCATTTTAATTTCCTTAATTGTTTTCAAAATATTATTTAAAGAATCTTTGTCCAGTTCAGGATACTGTCTAGGATTACATATTGCATTAAGTTGTCCTGTCTCTTTAGACTCATTTAATTTAAAGCAGTTTCTCAACATTCTTTTGTCTTTCATGCCATCAGCATTTATGATTAATACAGGCCAGCTGTTTCATAGAATGAAATCTATTAAGATTTGGGTTTCTCTGCTGCTTCCTTATGATTAGACAGAGATCATCCATTTTTGGTTGGATTACCACATGAGTGATGTTGTGTCTTGCTTGTGTTATCACATTGGGAGGCACTTAATGTTCCTTTGCCTCTTGTTGATGATATTAGTGTTGATCTACTTGGTTAAGTAAGATGTTATTCTGCTTCTACACTATTTTCCCTCATAATAATTAAGTAACTTGTGAAGAGGTATTTTGAGACCGGGTAAATAACTTGTTCCTCATCAGAATTCCCTCTGCTAGATCTGGCATCTATTGATCATTCTAATGAGAATCAGTTTTACTGTGATGGTTATAAAATGGTAATTTTCTAACTCCATTTTATCTATTTGTCTTCTCTATCAGCCATGATTTTGCTGTAAGAAACAGCTTTTTCTTCTTCCTTATTCAGCTATTAGGAGTTTGCACCCATTAAATCTTATTTCATTCATTTATAATTAATTAATTTCTCTCTCTCACTCTTGCTAAAATTATCCCAGATTTGTACTGGGATACCTGTTGCAATTCATTCAAGCTGGCTTTTGTGTCATTTTGATGCATACTCACCATTGTTTGAGCACCTCCTTACTTTCTGACACACAAAAATCCCAGACTTATCATGTACCTTCCCTGCCACAACCGTGAAATTAGCCTTCCTCCATGAAGCCCTAGTTCCTTATTTAGGCTGATTGATTTTTGAAGCTGACATCATGGAGATCAATTGTGTCCTTCTAAAACACAACTTCTCATTTCAACAGAAGGCAATCTGAAACTGTAAAGGTCTTAAGACTCATCTAAAAAGAAATATTCTTTGCTAATTTTTAAAAATTATTTTTCCAGGGTTAGGAATTAGATGTGAGAAATGAATCCATGGCAACAAAATGTACTGAAGTATCTATTAAAGAAACATTTCAATTACACATAAAATTAGTCTACAAAACAAATCAACTCAATTAAAAACAGTATTTCAAGTGAGTTGAAAATCACGAATTCACATTATGGTGCAAATGTAGATATAAGTTATATCTTGAAACTCTTTAAAAAAGTCAACATGGCTAAATGGAAAATAGTATATTAACACAAACTCAAAATATTATTTTAAATATCCAATATGAAATACGTAATATAAAAAACAAGATGAAATTTAAAACCCTTAGTGTCTGGCATATTTAGGGGATAATATTTTTATTGAATAAATTAAGGAGATTTAGGAAAAGGGCAGCCACTTACAGGAATTCAAATAAAAATATGTACATGATGGACCATTGATAGAATGCCACATATGCCTTCCCTAACTGAATAGTGAGCAGTCAATTTCCCATTTAAGTACTATTTCTTTTAAAATTTGACTTTTTTTTCTAAAAGCCAGCCAAGAAAGCAAAAAATAAAGATGAAAGAGCAGTTTATTACAAAGGCAGGTTGGAGTTCATGTTGTCTTTGCCCAAGAAACGCAGGAAAGCCTAATCTATTGCATCCCAGAGGTGGCCTTTCATTGTGAAACCAGCTTGTGGCAACACCTCTTCTGCAGCCCTGAGGCAATTAAATATCTAAGAATGGACAATCCCCCAATTACTTCTCAAGTGGTAAAACCAGCAGCAGAGCATGTTGTAACTCACCATATGCTGTAATTAAATGTAGGAACTCATACTTCCTTGTGGCCATAAAACCTCTGGTGGGGAAGCAAGGATGCAATATCTGCCATTGTAGCCAACGTGCAATCAGGTAGAAATACATAGAAGATAAACCTTGCTTCCCACACTTATATTAATATATAAGTCCTCATACAAACCCTTAGTTTGTTTCAGATTCTGCAGGCTTCTCAGCTACCACATTTGTAATAGTGAGAAACAAATTTAGATCAAAAGAAACCGCAGGGCAAGACAGGAGTCCAGGAGCATGACTGGACTAGAGTTTCCGGGTCCTGCTGTTTTCTTTCAAATAATGAAATAAGTGAACATAAAACAGGAGGCCAGGTTTAAAAACAGAAAGGAGGCTGGGCAAGAAGCAGCAATAACACACCAGCTAGGAACGATCAAGGTTAGCTGTGCCAGACCTGCTGAGTCTCGCTCATTTCGAGGGAGGCTTCTTATTGGTGAAACCTTACCAAAAAAAAAAAAAAAATCCTTAAGAAAAAAAATCCCTCCAGTGCTCAAGGAGATTGCAAGATGGCAGCATACTGGAGTGAAAATGTTTCAAGATTCCATTGTAACTGATGGTAATATCCTCGGAACAAATGGTCTCAGCTGGAGGAGTGGAGCAGCCACACCTTAGCTGAACTTTCTGTGCACAGCACCTTTCCTCAGTCATTCCAGAAGACAGGACACAACTCAGCAGGAAGCTGAAGCTCATGAGAAGAATTATCTGATTTACCTGCTCAAAAAAGTGGTAATGTTGGGAACATAGTGGATAAACTGTAATTAACATTTTGAAAGAGAGTGGGGAGGAATTTGCTCAGAGGAAAGTGGTACTCGAAGCTGTGGACATATTTGGCATGTGGGAGAGGAAAACCCGGCCACATTGGCTCACCTTTTGCTACATTGCTAGGCTGCGACTCAGGAGGCCTGCGGGGAGCCAGGGTGGCTCAGGATGACAATGGGCCCTGCACTGTGGCCTGGCAATGTGTCTATCCTTCCTCAAGCAGACGACTCCCTGTGGGGTGGGAGGAAGTGAAGAGAGAGACCAAACTGACCTTCATGTCATGACCTGGGTGACTAAGCTTGAGAGTCTTCCACTTATTGTTTGACTTACATTCCCTTAAGAAAAAAAAGAAGAAGAAGAAGAAGAAGAAGAAGAAAACAAAGTGGCATTGTCCCATTACTGAGACCATATAACTTGTTTCAGTGTCCTGTTCTCTGTCCCTGCCTCTACCTACATTTATGGTGGGTCCTTGCTGAAGCTCACTAACATCACTATTTCTTATAAACTGTAATACAATCATAAAATAAAGAACTACATCCCATATTCCCATCTGTCCTCCTCTCATTGTCTCTCATTCCACACACCCTTACCTCCATCTTCCCCTACATACAAAACAGACAACTTAACAAGTGATGGAATACCTTTTATCAAACAACTTGCAGAATATTACAGAAGGAAGGTCATTTCAGTCCATTTTCTATATTGTTATAGCTACAATGTAATTATCATTGATGTTCAAAATGAATGTTTGCAGCACTGCAAATTCTGTACCCTGAAGGCCTAAATTATATTCATTATAGTTGTATTGCTATTCATTTTGATGCATTAAAATTTTTTACAATCCATGTATAACATATTCAGCAGTAGTAATAATGAAGTAGAAACCCACATTCTTCAAGAAAGCTTCCTGAATCAATTACCAACAGGAATGGAGAGAACAATAATGGTGTGGGGCTCCTCTGGGAAGGCTGTTTTTACAAACAGTACGGGTGCAGAGCAGCTCTTCTTAACATCTTCGTGGAGATGACATGAAAAGCAAGTCCTGAATTCTTCCTTTTTCTGAATCTTTAATTAAAAAAAAAAAATAGTAATTCAAAAAACACCACTCCAAGGGTCAATACACTGTATAATTATAAACCGCAGTTCTTTCTGGCCTTATTTTTGTGCACAGCCTCATGAGATATGGGCAGGTTGAGGAGTGAATCTGGGCATTTGAAAATAGATGAGTAAATGGAGGATTACTCCTTTGAAGGTAATGGAAGAGAAATGTAAAGTTACTGGTTGCCTGGTTTGGATGATAAATGGAAACTAGATTTAATTACAAAGACAATAACAAGTATTGACATCAGAAAGCAGTGAAAATGTAATGCTAAGCCTAGTACACAGAGTCATAGACCTGTTGTTTCTTTAAATAGGCTGAGCTATCAATTGTATTAAAACTTTTAAAGAACCTCTAAGTAAATTTATAATCACAAAGTTAGTGCGATAATGACTAATTCAGCTTTTACCTCTTCTCTAAATCTCATGTATCTACAAGAACATAATGCAAAAGATCACTTGAACGGTTCTGGAAGTCAGTATATGAAGAAGTACACGTTTTTAGCTAATTCAACCAAGCTGACCTTACCATGAAGGAAGCAAATTTAGAATTTTAGAGGCAAATGCTTAATTGCTGTTTAACAGTCAAAAGTAAGATCTTCTTTTCTGTAATTTGCTACTGTTAGAAAAACTATAATGAGATACTTAAAATTTGACACTAGAATTTAAAAGAATGGTTGCAAATGCTAGTTGAGGGGGCTAGACACAGCTCATATTCTCATTGCCTGGGTAATCTTCATAAACTTTCAGAGCAATGTTCTCATTTAACCTATTAATGGTCGCAGAGTTCCTTAAAGCACGGTTTTCACACATGGCTGGGACAGTTGGTGAAATTGCAATCACCTTTGAAGTGGGATGCCTGAAGTCAATAACCAGATTGACCGATCATGGCCCTGTTTGTCTTCACATTTGCAAGCAGGTGTAATGATGGTTGATACCACTTGTGCAGACAGCAATTTTGTGCTAAAAGCTTGCTGCTAAACAACAGGCTTGTTGTCTCTCTCAGTTACCTTCTGTTTATTTCTATGGAAGGGGAAATCAAGACTTCAATAAAAGCTTAGAAATGATTGAAAACTGAATTGTTCTCAGGATGAATAGGCTCAAAGTATTAGGCAACTTAATAATTCACAGAAATAATAGTTCAGTACTAGTATGGATTTGAAAAGCATATAAAAAAGGTATTGTTAAATGCTACCATTTATAAATAGGTATTCAATTTTTCAAAAACTGAGGATTCTTAGGAATTGCATATGCCTTAAAACTACCCAAACCTCAGGCCAGGCGCAGTGTCTCACGCCTGTCATCCCAACACTTTGGGAGGCTGAGGCGGGCAGATCAACTGAGGTTGGGAGTTCGAGACCAGCCTGACCAACATGGAGAAACCCTGTCACTACTAAAAGTAAAAAAATTAGCCCACCGTAGTGGCACATGCCTGTAATCCCAGCTACTCAGGAGGCTGAGGCAGGAGAATCACTTGAACCGGGGAGGCGGATGTTGCAGTGAGCTGAGATAGTGCCATTGCACTCCAGCCTGGGCAACAAGAGCAAAACTCTGTCTCAAAAAAAACAAAAAAAAAACCCCAAAAACTACCCACAGTTCATTTTCAAAGTATGGATTTAATGTAGCCAGCTCTCCAATATTCATCCTAAAAGAAGCCAGACAGAAATGTGACATTAAATATCTCGTCTTATTTTTGTTTAAAAGATGTATCTCTGTTAAAGTGGTTGTAATACTGAGAACAATGACTATGGATTATTTTTAAATTCTTGTTTATTCTCATTTGTGTTTTACTAATGGTTCTATCATGTTTATGATTTTCATAACAGATAAAAATAAGTTAATGGCTGAGTGTGGTGGCTCATGCTTGTAATCCCAGCACTTTAGGAGGCCAAGGTGGGTGGATCACCTGAGGTCAGGATTTCGAGACCAGCCTGGCCAATATGGTGAAACTTCGTCTCTACTAAAAATACAAAAAAATCAGCCAGGCGTGGTGGTGGGCGCCTGTAATCCCAGCTACTTGGGAGGCTGAGGCAGGAGAATTGCTTGAACCCGGGAGGCAGAAGTTGTGGTGAGCTGACATTGTGCCACTGCACTCCAGCCTGGATGACAGAGGGAGACTCCGTCTCTAAATAAATAAATAAATAAATAAATAAATAAATAAATAAGTTAATAAAATGTATCTGGCCAGGCCCTGTGGGTCCTGCCTGTAATCCCAGCACTTCAGGAGGCCAAGTCAAGTGACTCTGTTGAGCCCAGGAGTTCGAGATCAGCCTGGGCAACATGGTGAAACTCCATCTCTATTAAAAATACCAAAATTAGCCAGGTGTGGTGGTGCACACCTGTAGTCCCAGCTACTTGGGAGGCTGAGGTGGGAGGATCACTTGAGCCTGGGAAATTAAGGTTGCAGTGAGCCGTGATTGTCCCACTGCACTCCAGCCTGGGTGACAGAGTGAGATCCTGTGTCAACAAAAAAAGGAAAAAATATCCAATGATGAACCAAACCCTAAGAGGCTCCCTTCCACCTGCCCACTAGCACACCCAGAGAGGCTCATGATGTGAAAGGCAGAAATGGGACACATTCATTGATCAGCTAAGAGCCTCACTAGATGACAGATGCTGTGCAAAATCCTGGACAGTTTTGGGGCCTCCTTAACCTCCTAAGCCCACCTCCTGTTTTTGTTTTTTGTTTTTACACAGGGTCTAAAGACAGGCTGGAGTGCAATAGTGTGATCACAGCTCACTGCAGCCTAGACCTGCTAGGCCCAAGTGATCCTCCCACCTCAGCCTCCTGAGTAGGACCACAGGTGTGTACCACCATGCATGGCTTTTTTTTTTTTTTTTTTGGTAGAGACAGTCTCCCTGTACAGAATTCCTAGGCTCAAGTATTCTTTCTGTCTCAGTCTCCCAAAGTGTTAGGATTACAAGCATAAGCCACCACACCTGGCCCCACGTCCTTTTCAAAAGCACTTTTTATTCATAGATTTTTCCTGTCAGAACAACATGGATAATTATTACCTAGATTCAAATTTAAAATCCACTTAAGCAAATACCAAATTTTAAAATAAGACCTCAAAAGAAACTGAAACCTGAATCAAAATTAAGGCAAATCAAAGTTAATTGCAATCTAAACTAAGCACATATCCAAAATCATTTGATTTTAGTTTACCTTTTTTAAAGAAGATCTAAGAAGAAATCATTATTGTTAAGTATCAACTCTTGGCCAGGCATTGAGAATTTTAATTATAAGCTGAATATAATTTAATCCTCATAATAACCGTATAATAATCTCATTCCTCTTTTGTTGTTGTTGTTGTTGTTGTTGTTGTTGTTATGGAGTTTTCCTCTGGTTGGCCAGGCTGGAGTGCAATGGTGCAATCTCAGCTCACCACAACCTCTGCCTCCTGGGTTCAAGCGATTCTCCTGCCTCAGCCTCCCAAGTATCTGGGATTATAGCGATGCTCCACCATGCCCAGCTAATTTTGTATTTTTAGTAGAGACGGGGTTTCTCATGTTGGTCAGGCTGGTCTTGGACTCCCAACCTCAGGTGATCTGCCTACCTCAGCCTCCCAAAGTGCTGGGATTACAGGCATGAGCCACCATGCCTGGCCCATTCCTTATTTTTCAAATGAGGAAACTGAGACCTAGAGAGCTTAAGAAACTTAGCCAAGTCACTCAGATGATGGAAGCAGATCTAGGATTTAAATCCACTTTTTCTGATTTCAAAGAGAAACAATCTACAGATTTCTCATAACTACTAAAACAGGGATAGGAGAAATATGATCTGAAGTGCCAAATACTAGATAAGTACACTGACGATTCATTAGGTAAGGTTTCTTGTTTAAAACTGTTTTCCTCAATTATTTGTTTTATCAAGGCAACCAAAGATATAGAAAATAAATAAATAGTATTAGCCTTTTTCTGACCATTGAGAGATAATGTCTTAGGAGTCTCGAAACAAACAAAATACTAGGGCAGAAAATACGTAGGAATCAAAGTTCCCAGCTGACAAATAAAAAAAATAAATAAGTCCATGGCCAGGCGTGGGCGCTCATGCCTTTAATCCCAGTGCGTTGAGAGGCTGAAGCATGGTGGCATGCACCTGTAGTCACAGCTACTTGGGAGACTAAGGTAAGAGGATCACTGGAGCTCAGGAGTTCAAGCTTACAGTGAACTCTGATTGTGTCACTGCATTCCAGAATGAGACACAGTCTTTTTAAAAAAAAAAAAAAGTATATGAGAAATTGAGAATGTTTTATGATAAAATCGCACAAAGGATTATTATGATACTTTGCTTTAATTAATATTTCCTTTTGATACTTACCACAACTTAAAAAGCTAAGCTTTTATAAAACATTGAAACCGAAAAACAAAACCTCGCGCTTCACCCATATGAGTTTGCAATGGATTAGACTTTTAAAATGCAAATAAATTCTAAATACCTGGTCTAGTCATGACCTTCTAAGTCCAGTTATCTCCATGTATTGGCAGTTACTTTCATTGAGCTACCAAGTGATTTTTTTTACTAAGTCTATTCCCTCCTTGCAGTCTAAGTTTTCTGTTTTAAAACAATAGGAACTAAGTAGCTAAAATCTCTGAAAATAGTAAACCTATCAGTTTTATTCTATGTAGATTATATAAAAAACAAATTTTGTTTTTGTTTTAGAACTTTGTCAAATTGCCTCCTATTGAATAAGGAAATATAGGTGAAATGTATTTTGGAATGTGCAATAAATGTATGTGTATATATATTATATATCACATTATAAATTACAATTTAAAAATCATCTTTGTTGAAATGATACTGTAATCAGGGCTGCGGGTGCCAGATAGAGAAGGTAATTCACAAGGAAGACCTGGTGCTCTCACGCATGCCATCAATCTCTCCTCCCTCCATCCTTAGTAATTCTACCAACAGGGCCATATAACTCAGTCCCATTCCCATTCGCACATATACCTTCCAGCAATATGTTGTCATTTCTTCTTCTCCTTTGACATAGCGCTTACTGTTCCTTGGTACATATTCCTCCTGAAGGAACAAAGCACTTGTCATTTTACTACGGAAAGCTGGAGAACATATAGTGTTTCTCAAAAGTGATGTTTTTGTTAATGGGGTTGGATTTCTTGGTTGGGAAGCCATTTAGCATCCCTAACCCTGGGGTACTCAATGCCAGTGACTCCCCTCCCCAGTTGCAACAACAAAGTCAAATAAAACAAAACACCAGCCCATATATTCCCAAGACCCCTAGGGAGACAGTGTTTCCCTGACTGTCATTCACTATACTATATTCACAGTATTTTTTTTAACTGACCCTTCTCCACATCAAGAGGGTATTTCTGATTCATAATTTGAAGTTATTTGGAGTACCTTTTCCAGAGGTGAATATAGTTTTAAATGGAGATACTGACCTCTATAACAATGAATGAAAAGACAAAAAAAAGTAAGAACTGTGGTAATGTTTACTCAAGAGCAATTAATATCAAATATTCATCATATACACTGTATAAACAATATTCTGTTAAATCAGTGGGTCTCAAAGTGGGATCTGCAAACCCTTGGAAGTCTTGGGCAAAGCTGAGTGAGTTGGTCACTCTACTGTCACTTCAAGAAAAATAACTGGCGTTATATGTCATCAATGATAAAATTTAAGCTTTCAAGCTAAAGCTAGAATTTTGAAAAACTTGTGTTCTCCACAATGAGCTTTTCAGTTGCCCAATACTTGAAGACATTTCTGATGAAATTGGTAGTGATAAGAATAAATGTGATTTGTGATACTGCCTAAAGAAATGTCAACATTTGGAAGATGTGCAAAATCAGTGAGCCAATATTTTCTAAATGACCAATGCATGATGTTACAGAATCATGCCTTGGCAAAGATCCATTTAAAGTGCAAGACAGTGAATGAATTTTAAGGTAACAGAGACAAGAAGTTCATTGATATGGTTTCAGATCCACATTGCAAACAACCTTCAAGAAACTACCACTTGACAAGTTGGATGTAATAAGAGAAAAAAAATCCATAATTATCTTTTTTAAAAATGCTATTTCCAACTACATATCTGGATGAGACCAGATTTTCTTCTTATACTTCAATCAAAGTAACATTATCACAACAGATTGAATTCAGAAACAGATATTAGAATCCAAATGTCTTTTCTTAGTCCAAACATTAAAGATATTTGTAAAAATATAAAATACATTTTTATCACTAATTATAATGTTCTATAAAATATATTATTTCTTCATTAAAACATATATATGGTGGTTCACGCCTGAAGTCCCAGCACTTTGGGAAGCCAAGGCAGGAGGATCACTCGAGCCCAGGAGTTTGAGGCCGTAGTGAGCTCTGATCACGCCATTGCACTCCAGCCTGGGCAACAGAGTAAGACCCTGTCTGTAAATAATAATGTTAAAGGCCAGGTGTGGTGGCTCATGCCTGTAATCCCAGTTCTTTGGGAGGCTGAGGTGGGCAGATCACCTGAGGTCAGGAGTTTGAGACCAGCCTGGCCAACATGGTGAAACCCCGTCAACACAAAAATTAGCCAGGCATGGTGGCGTATCCCTGTAATCCCAGTGACTCAGGAGGCTGAGGCCAGAGAATCACTTAAACTTGGGAGGCAGAGGCTGCAGTGAGCCAAGATTATGCCACTGCACTCCAGCCTGGGTGACAGAATGAGACTCTGTCTCCAAAAAAAAAAGAATAATGTTAATAAATAAATATAAAAAAAGTATCATAGATGTTAATACTAAATGATGTGTTACTTTTAAAATTAATTATTTTAAAGAATTTTCCCGTTTTCTGGTATGGTAAATACTAACAAATGAAATTTTCTTCTCTTTTTTGAGACAGAGTCTCGCTCTCACCCAGGCTGGAGTGCAGTGGCGCGATCTCAGCTCACTGCAAGCTCCGCCTCCTGGGTTCACTCCATCCTCCTGCCTCAACCTCCAGAGTAGCTGGGACTACAGGCGCCTGCCACCACACCTGGCTAATTTTTGTATTTTTAGTGGAAACAGGGTTTCACTGTGTTAGCCAGGATGGTCTCCATTTCCTGACTTCATGATCCGCCCGCCTTGGCCTCCCAAAGTGCTGGGATTACAGGCATGAGCCAACGCACCTGGCCTATAAATAAAATTTTCTAAACAAAAAAGGTTTTTTAATTCTCAATTTTTAAGAGCACAAAAGTATTCTGAGAACAAAATGAGAACTGCCATGTTAGATGGTTAATGCTATAATTTTTAACCAACTCATTTTTTTCCAAATTATTACTGTTTTGGCATACTAACATTCTAGCTACATGGACTTTTCAGTTTTAATTCTAAAAGTAATCGCTGTTAAAATAAAGAAAATTTCAAGAGAAATTTGACCCACATATTTATTAAAATTGTTTAAAAGTGAGAAAGAGTTTCAATCTTCAATACGATAGCGTACATGTGATTCTTTAGCATAGTAAGAACAATGCTGGGAGACACTTTTGTCAGGTTCCACTATTACATTCCATAAGGTCAACAGAAATAATTAAATTTCAATATTGTCTTCTTAAAAAGTGTAGTCTGAGGAATTTCTCTTTTTTTTTTTTTTTTTTTTTTTTTTGAGACTGAGTCTTGCTCTGTCGCCCAGGCTGGAGTGAAGTGGTGTAATCTCAGCTCACTGCAACCTCTGCCTCCCAGTTTTCAATGATTCTCCTGCCTCAGCCTCCCGAGTAGCTGGGATTACAGGTACGCACCACCATGTCCAGCTAATTCTTTTACTTTTTAGTAGAGACAGGGTTTCACCATGTTGGCCAAGCTGGTCTCGAACTCCTGACCTCGTGATCCACCTGCCTCAGCCTCCCAAAGTGCTGGGATTACAGGTGTGAGCCACCACGCCTGGCCCAGTCTGAGGAATTTCTAATTTCATGCTTTATAGAAATTTTAATCAGAATTTTAAAACTGGTTTCTGGAATTTTCTTCAGAGCTCATTGCTTGGTGTCCTAGAAAGGCTTCAACTATCTCTTTAGCTCTTTAACTGCTCTATAATTGTAGGTGAACACTTTAGCTCTTACAAAGAAAAGAAGTTCCACCCTAAAGGTGATAAGGCTTCATATGAGGTCATAGAGTATTGGACATCCAAGCCAGAATAACTTTATTTACTAGCTATGTGTTTGTAGGCATGACACTTAACTTCCCTTGACTCGGTTTCTCCATTTGTAAAATGGTACCAACATCCAGGTAAAGTGTTTAGAAGAATAACTGACATAAAAACAGTAAGTGTTAGCTCTTGTTTTATGAATCAACTAAGGAAAAGTTAACTTGCAAGAATGCATCCAGATTAGAATCATAGAGATGTAGAAATCATCTATAAACATGTCTATTATTGGAACTTTCATAAGGATAGAATGTGGGGTAGGGCATAATGACTTGACAGGCCTGAAGATCCAGAAATTCAAATGTAAGGGAAAGTTTGTCTGTATCCAACTGATAGCTGAAGAAACTGTTTTTTTTTTTTTTTTTTGAGACAGGGTCTCACTCTGATAGCGCAACCACAGCTTACTACAGTCTTGATCTCCCAGGCATAAACAATTATTCTGCCTCAGCCCTCCGAGTACCTGGGACCATATGCCTGGCTATTTTTTTTTTTTTAACTTTTTGTAGAGATGGGGTCTCCGTGTGTTGCCCAGGCTGGTCTTGAACTCTTGGGTTCAAGTGATCCTCCTTCCTCAGCCTAACAAAGTACTGGGATTATAGGCATGAGCCATCGTGCTCAGCCAAAAACATTTTTTAAGATTCTAGGTGTAAAGAATGTTTTCATTCTTAGGTGAAGATGAATACTAATATTACTTCTATACAGTTAGTCTCTGAGCTAATTTTATAGCTAATGAATTACAAACTTCGTGAGTTAAAGTTAAAAGCCAAATTTCTATGAGCCTCAATTTTTATCATTCCATACATATATTATTTTGTTGTGTATTTATCTGTAGCAGATACATTTTATTAGTTGCCCTTAGTATAGATAAGTAAATAGAGGTTCATGTCTTAAAGTATTATACCTTGCCATAATTACAAATGTTCTCCACCTTGCTCTGTTTCCACTGTTTCTCTTCCCAAATGACCTCAGTTTGTCAACACTAAAGAAAAACAGCCAGGCACAGGGTGGTGTGGGTCTGTAGTCCCAGCTACTCGGGAGGCTAAGGTGGGAGGATTGCTTGAGCCCAGGAGTTCTAGGCTGTAGTGCAGGAGTTCTAGGCTGTAGTGCACTGTGCCAACCAGGTGTCCGCACTAAGTTTGGCATCAATATGGTGACCTCCTGGGAGGGGACCACCAGGTTGCCTAAAGAGGGGTGAACTGGCCCAGGCCGGAAATGGAGCAGGTCAAAACTCCCGTGCTGAACAATAGTAGGATCGCTCCTATGAATAGTCACTGCATTCCAGCCTGACAATATAGTGAGACCACATCCCTAAAAGAAAAAAAATTTTTTTAAATCCTTTTCCTAGGCTGTATTCTTGTTAAAGAGCACATGAAAATGTACCTTATGTATCATAAGAATGTGACATGCTGCTACTAGAGATCACATTAATTTTAATAGATGAAAACAAAAAGAAAGAAGCTAATAGGAAACAGCATAAATATTTTTTCTCATGTAACCAAATGTTTCAGTATTATTGTAGAGAAAATTTGATCTAATCTTGTCCTTATCACAGTTTGGGTTCTAATGTATCAGTGGTGCCTTCAGAAATGAACATAAGCACTTTACTTTTACTACTGTGCCTTGTACTGTATAAATGATCAGCTGGTTTTCAAAAGAGATTGCTATATTGCTTTTTCATCTTCCCTTCTGAATGGGCATATTTTAGGCATGAGTGTTATGCTCCATCACCTTGAATAAATGATTAATAATTCTTTACCAATACGACTTCAATTATATATGATTGCTGGTGTTTTGCAAACTTTAAAATTATGGTGATGGGCTGGTTAAAGTTATGATTTCTCTTTTTAATAAACCACCAACAGATTAAAAAGACATACCTCAGGAGCTGCTGAATCTTCTATCACTCCTAAAATTCAAGAGATATAATTTGTGAGCACACAATATGTTCAGAATAACTATCCCATAGAACACCATATGTGCAACTGGACATTCTACATGTCTAATTTCATAATTTCAATGCTAATTTCTTGTTTATGTTTGTTTTTCTTCACTATGTCCTGTGCTCATCAATGCTAATTTCACAAGCCTTTGAGCCAAATCTTGACCTACAGATGTCAAGAAAAAGTTTATATATGTAGAATTCTTAACAAGCAAAGTTGTTATTCTGAAAATCAATTATTTTTCTTTTATAAATATTTTAAAGGATTCTTTATTTAAATAAATGTAATTTTTAAAATAGGCCAGGCACAGTGGCTCATGCCTGTAATCCCAGCACTTTGGGAGGCCGAGGCGGGCAGATCACTTGAGCTCCGGAATTCCAGACAAGCCTGGCCAATATGGTGAAACCTTGTCTCTACCAAAAATACAAAAATTAGCCAGGCCTGGTGGTGCACCCCAGTAATCCCAGTTACTCATGAGGCTGAGGCCGAGAATTGCTTGAACCCAGGAGGCGGAGGGTGCAGTGAGACGAGATCACCCCACTGCACTCCAACCTGGGTGATGAAGAGAGACCCTGCCTCAATAAATAAATAAACTGATTACTTAATTAAATAATGTGGTATATGTTGCTATGTAAACATCCTAAACATTGTATTAAAATAATGTTAGAACAGTAACGTAAATGCATGCTAAAATTACACATAATCTCAAATCTATGTTGTAGACGTGGTTTTTGCTTGCCTAGCATCTCTCTACAGCATCATTCTCCCCCATTTCTGAATCCATGTTCTTCTGATATGGAGATTTTAAACCTGAATCCAAGAGAGGCATGTAGCCAAAGAGATTAGTTCAGGCTGAGCCAATCAGAATGAATCCCAGGCTTATGCTAGAGTATTAAAAGAGTCTAAACTAGCAGGATATAAGGTCCTGCCCAAGAATAAAGTCCATCAAGAATAATGCAACGCTGACCACTAGAAAAAGAGAAATTGAATCTCGCACCATTATTTCACTTCCTGGATCCATCGCTGCCAAAATTCTGATAACCTCTGGACTTTTTAGTCACATAACAAATATTTTTTCTTTTAAGAGGCTTCAAGTTGGTTTCCACTGTTTGCAAGAAAAAGTACTCTTATTAATACAATCCATTACTCTAGCAATTAAAAAAGAAAATACCTAACACTCAACTTGGGTAAGATTTTGATGAATCTGTTTCCCCAAATACTCCAGAGGCTTGTAAATCATTTTAAAGGTTTAGAAAGTAATATGAATATAATGAACTGCATATCATGTCCTAATATTTTGCTGAAGGATACAATATGACTGGTGAAAAAATTAATTGTGGTGTTACACATGTCCTCCAAAATTAAATGCAACCTTAGTCTTAACCATTGGACAATGACTAAGTACTGTATATGATACTATGTCAATATTATTCAATTTATCAAGTCTCAAACTGTAATGATTATGCAAAAAGGAAACACCATATGAAAAGAATATAATAATTACAGCTACATAAAATGATATATACATAGAGGCAAGTGGTTTTCCACCCTGGGTGCGTATCAGAATTTCCTGAGGAAAAGTAAAAAAGCTGATGCTTCAGAAATTCTGATTTAATTGGTCTGGGGTAGATCCCAGGCATTGGTATGCTTCTAAAGCTTCCCAGGTTATACTGATATGCAAGCATTAACAAAAGCTTTAGAATTATGAAAAAGCCACTCACAATAAATCAACAAATATTTCATTTTTACATATTTGTTTATTCACAACTTGACATTTTAGCATATCCAAAAATTCACTTATTTGGCATATTCATATATTCACAAGTTCTTTACATATTGGCATTTCTTCCATCTATGGTTAAACCTCAAAATAATAGTTTCTCCAGTGACTGGGAAAAAAATGGTAGCTCAATTATACCCTTGAATACAGCAGAGAAGAGAATGAGGATCTGGGGGTATCTTTTCAGGTATAAATTAATTTGTGGGTACCCCAAGACCTAGAATGTCCCAGTCTCTTGTTTTAATAATTTTAATGATTCTGATATTACATTTACAATTTGCATTGTTTTTAGTAGGTTAGTCATACTCATGCCTCCGTCTCTGTCTCCTTTACTGGACCCTCTAAATGTTGGAGAAAGCCAGAGCTCAGGCTTGAGCTCTCCCCACACACTGAGTACTTGGGTGATCCATACAAGTATGGCTCTCAAATATTCATCTCAGGTCTGATCTCACTGCTGAACTCCAAATATCCAACTGCCTCCTCAACATCTTCACTGGAATACTAATAAGCAGCTCCTCCTTAACCAGAACTAAATTCTTAATTCTTATACCCATTCTTGATCCTTCCCCAGTGTACCTCATCTTAATAAATGATACCACCATTCACCTATCTGAACCAACCCTCAGTAACATCCATGATTCTCAAACTCAATCCATGTGCACTTCACCAGAAAATCTCTTTGGCTATACCTTAAAAATAGATCTTAGGCTCAACTCACTTCCTATCAATTTCAATGCACTAATTTATTCCAAGACATCAGGATCTCAAACAGATTCCTACACAGCTTCCTAATAGCCACCTTGCTTTCACTTTTGTCCCTATTGACTAAATTAGATCAGATCATTTCTCTTCCTACCTTATAACCCTCTTTCTATCACAAACAAAATAAAACCTGTGTTTGCACCCCTGCTAGCCAGCCTCTGTGTGCTCCGGCGCCTGGCTCACTCTCCGACGGCCTCTCTTAATACTCTCCCATCACTCACTGAGCCCCAGGCTCACAAGCCCCCTTGATTTTTCTCAAAGATCCCAAGCATCCCCATTAAGCTACCAATGAGTTTCTTCACAGAATTGGAAAAAACTGCTTTAAAGTTCATATGGAACCAAAAAAGAGCTCGCATCTCCAAGACAATCCTAAGTCAAAAGAACAAAGCTGGAGGCATCACGCTACCTGACTTCAAACTATACTACAAGGCAACAGTAACCAAAACACATGGTACTGGTACCAAAACAGAGATATAGCACAATGGAACAGAACAGAGTCCTCAGAAATAATACACACATCTACAGCGCATCTGATCCTTTGACAAAACCTGAGAGAAACAAGAAATGGGAATAGATTCCTATTTATTAAATGGTGCTGGGAA